TTTTTTTTTTTTTTTTTTTTTTTGTCCAACTTGGGAAGTTACATTTGGATGGACATTTTGTCCGTTTTGCAAATTGACCTATTTAGGTCTACCCCCCTCAACCTGCATAACCATTTTTCCACGTCTGTTCTTGAATGGTCCTCGTAAAAACAATATATTTAGAGTAATGATCTGTGGGAGGCATAATAGTATACCTGTTTTAATTGTGCATAGGGCTCGTTTACGCGAGGTTACGTTTCGCTTTCCCGTTTTAGCATACGGAGGATCTTCCCTTAACCGTGAAAAAAAAGCGCTAGTGTTTTTTTTGTTACCCAGCAAGGAATTTATTTTGTATATATTTTGTTTTATTTTATTTTTATATAAATATATTTTTTTTTTTCGCTCCACCACATGTACATCCTTTTAGCCATTTGGCATTTGCGAGTATCCGCAATGCGTAAATAAATTTCTTTTCAACACTGAGAAGTTGGCTCTGAAATTAAATAGGCATTTTTTTTTTTTTTTTCACTTTCACGTATTTTCCATACGGCGAGTGTCCCTCCGCCGACCTTATTTTTTGTTTAGTGGCCAAACCAGTTTGCCTTTCACTTGACGAAAATGTCAGTTAGGCGTTTCATCCACGTGAGGAAGTGAGGCCGCTTGACAATTACGAAGATGTGACTTTGACTAGGACATGGGGGAAGAGAGAAAATATATAACAATTGCTTTTCGCTCGATGCGGCTGTTATGAATATGCCCCTCCCGCCCGTGTGATGCAGCCACCCAGGTATTATAGAAGGTAACCCTTTTTCCTTTTTTTTTTTTTTGCAAAAGGGTTTTTTGCTCGGTTTTGAACCATGTTTCCGCAACAAACGAGCAGATTGAAAAACATGAAGTCAAAGTACGAGGCCCTGTTCGACAACGAGCCGAGCAGCTCGCGCGAGTCTAACAACCAGATCAATCGGGAGTCTACGAAGAATGAAGAGAACACAGTGTGTCTGAACAATAGCCTGAACAATATATATGGCAAAATAGTTAAAATAAGGAAAGAGTTAGAAAAATCATATAATTTGTTTTACTCTTATAATTTAATTGTATCCAATGAAGGGGGAGGCAACATCAACCCTGGGAGGAATTACGCAGATGTGTATCAACGAAATGACGCTTTGAAAATAAATACAAATGCGAAGAATAATTTAACCCTAAACAAAATAAACGCGCTCACAAATTCCTTTTTTATGAATGTTGAAACGTTGAGGAATACTTACTCTTTTCTTGGTACAAATAATATGAACGGTCAGGCAACTATGAATGACGAAAACGTCATATGGGAGAGAAGGATTGAGACATTAACGAGTGAAGCCAATTCGTATATAAAAACACTAGACGGAATTTACAAAACGAATTTAAGCCAGACGGAAAGGAATGCCCGTAATGCATATAACGAACGGGATGGTTTGATGGGTAATAGTCTGCACAGAGACGGCAAAAAGGCGAAGAAGAAAATGGGTGCAGACTCCGCTATCGGCTACCTACATAATGAGAGGGAAATATTGAAGGAGGTGGAAAATAACCTTAACGTCTTTCACGCCCAGGGAATAAGTACATTAGAATTAATCAGGAGGCAAAATAAATTTTTGAAAAATGTTCGCAAGAAAGTAATTGACATTTACAACTACGTTGGCTTGTCGTCTTCCCTGACCGACGCCATCAAGAAGGCGCACAAGCAGAACTTGGTCATCGTCCTCGTGGGCATGGTTCTCTCCTTGCTCTTTTTTTACGTCCTCTACAAGTATGTCCGGGGCTAATTTGGGCAAAGCGAACACACGCCTCGGCAAATGTTAAATACATACGTGTGAGTGTACGTATAGTTATATGAAGCTATATATTTGGCGTAGCCATATATTATGTGCCTACTTTTTTTGTGCTGCTTTGTTGTGCTGCTTTGTTGTGCTGCTTTTTTGTGGCCTCTTTTTTTGTGTGGTACGTTGTCCCTCATCATCCGTCCGTGCATATAATTCCCATTGGGCGCGAATGTACGGAAGAGTACCTACTTCTCACCCTCCTTTTTTCGCTCATTTTTTTTTTTTTTTTTCTCCTTTTTTCTCATTGCTCAGCAGCTTGTGATGATATGATGTCATGCGTAAGTAAAAATATTTATACCTAATTTTGTTTGTTTATATGGTGAAGTAAAAAAAAAAAAAAAAGGAAAAATATATTTGCCACATACATAGCATGTATTTTTTTTTTTTTTTTTTTTTACCGCCTTACGAGTTTGTGAAATTCTCCCAACTTTTTTTTTTTTTGAGCCGCTTGGCACAATTCTTCACGCTTTGACAAGATTTAGTCATTTTGCTACCGCGTACTTGAACACGCTCCTTTTAATTTGCAACGCGGAAATGGATTTACCAGGCCGTGGAAGGGCGCATTCGTAGCATGGGGACTAACTTGTTTTTTGCCAAGTGAGGGTAGAAGGCCAATCGGTCCTTCTCATCGCCGCATCTCACCCCCCCAATGTACCTTCTACGCACAAGGGACACTACCACTTTTGTGCTTCGAGCGAGCAACTGTTGTGTGTAGATATTGCACGATATAAAAAAAAAAAAGGACCACGTGAAGGCAAAACTGCGAAGGAGGAAAAAGGGAAGCATGGAGGAGGCAGTAGTCCCGCCAATGGGGGAATCAGCCGCCCCAATGGAGGAAGCTTCCCCGTATGCCGAACCACCGCGCCCCGGTACGTACGACCACCTGTCCAAAGAAATGCAGGAGTACTACGTGGGGGTGCCGTACAGCTGGGAATACGTGGAGGGCAGCAGAGGGTGGTTCATCATCGAAACGAGCAAAGGGTATAAATTCTACTTTAACAAAAAAACGAGCGAAAAGACGTGGAAGTGCCCAAAGGAGGTAGAAATTCTGATGAACAAACAGGAAAGCGATCAAGCGGTTGATGAATCGGTGGAGGGAAGCCTCACAGGGGGTCGTCACCATGGAGTGATCGGAATTGACTCAGTGGCAGGGGCCACTACCTCATATGGTCTAACCCACGGAACAAGGGGGCAAGGTGGCCAAGAGAAAAAAGACATGGAAAAAATCCTCAAGGATTATAAAAACCTTCTCATCGAAAAAAATATGGACCAATTCTGTAAATATGAAAACGTCTTGGCCCACCTGCTCTACGATGAAAGGTATCTAAGAGTACCAAAGGAGCTGAGGAAAGAATATTTTAATAATCTTATAAAAGAGATTGATTGTGATAGAAGAAACGAGCTCAAAATGTTAGTAGAGAATTTCCAAAGTTTGCTGTGTAAGATGGAAGGTAAAATTAGGTACCCCTTTGAAGAGGCAGACGCTATATCCATTTTGCGGGGTAAAAAAGAATTCGAAGGAAGTGGCACAAAAAATTGGTATGTCACAAGGAGCAAACTGTTAAGGGAATTTTTACAAAAGAACAAAAAAAACATGGAAAGAGAAACGGAACAAAATTTGGAGCAAGTGTTGTTGGACGCCTTGAGAGGGGAAAGTCCAGGGGCGTGGATTAAGATAAAAAATAATTTACTACGAAGTAGCAAATACGATATTTTATCCTTTGAGAAAAAAAATCACATATTTCAGAGTCTAAGTCAAAAGTTGTTAGACAAGAGGAAGGGGGAAAGTCGGCATGCAGATTCCCTCTCAGGTATTAAGCGATCGACCTATCGTGGCAATGCGCTTACCGACGACAGAAATGTTTTTGTGAGTCTTCTGCATGAGAAGCTAAAACACCCAGTTATAGACGAGGACATTTTGGAACAGGACCCATTTACGGCCAAAACGTGCGACTCCTTTGAAGAGGCAGTGCAAATTCCACCTGACCTTACAACAGACGACAGGTATAAAAATATACGCCTGACGGATACAGAAAAATTAAACTTGTACAAAGAATTTATTATGAGCTACATAAGTATGAAGAAAGACACATTCGAAAAAATGCTTCATGAACTTCCAATTAAGTATATGAACGACTCTTTGGAAGACATCATAAGGGTCGTCGATAAGAATGACAAAATTTTTAAGTCCTTACCATCAGCGCATTTGGAAAATGTTTTCTCAAAATGGAGAACGTACAAAATTAAGGAGGCTAAAAAAATGTTTGCAGATTTTTTAAAAAAGTCCAATTGGGTTAAACATGACTCGGATGAGCGTGGGAACTACGATGCCCTCCTCAAAGTTTTGTCGCAGGACGTCAGGTACAGGACTCTCTCAAGGGGCTTATGTGTGTACTGATAGACCCTTTGTATGTGTGTGTGTGTCGTTCCAAATTGTGCACTTTTGCATAATAATCAACATTTCATCAAACCACGTTTATCTCTGTCCGCCCCTTGCAGCTACCAACGACTGAAGTGCGTGCCCGCGGACAGGGAGGAAATGGTGAAGAAGCGCATAAGGGAGTTAAAGCAAGAACACAAGAAGAACAAGAACTTAGCAGAAAGGCTGAACCGCTGATGCGTTGGAAGCGGTAACTTCTCAGTTGTGGTGACGCCCTTCTTGTTTGCGCGAGATAGCCGCAATGGCCACTCAAACGGTGGCATCTTTTTTTTTTTTTTTTTGGTTTCATTTGTGGGCATGCCCATGTGGGGAGCAGGGCCAAATATATATATATTTTTTTAAATAGCCCTTGAACAACCCCTACGTTGCGTTGCCTCTTGCAAATATATGAACGATACACACAACGCTAGGTAGTAACAACGCATGCATGTGCATTGAACATGTCGTTTTGTTTTTTTTTCTCCGTTTGAACGACGACAAAGGGGGGGAGGTTCTACCTCCGCTGTTTATGTAGAGTTGGTTGAGTATATACTTAGCTGACCATATGCATTATTATATTCCCCTCGGTACGTAAACACCTTAACCAAATTAACACATTTGTCTTTATGAAGAGTGCCCTTTTCAGGAGCCGTAAGAACAACACAAACCCGTATGTACGAACGTGGGTATACACCACGTACCCATTGGTGGGAGTGTCTACTTCTGCACATTTGTGTGTAAACATTTTCCTGTGCCTTTGCTTAAATTTGTCAGACTGTGAAATGGGCAGACATACAAAAGGTTACAAAATTTCATTTCTCTTTTTTTTGTCTTTCACTTGTACGTTTAACAAAGTATGCGCTATTTTGCTTTAAAAAAAATTTACAAATTTTTGTGCAGCAGAAATGTGCTTTAGGGGATACAAAATCCAACGAGGAAAAACTCCATCTTATGTGTGAGAAGTTCTCCAAAGTGAGGTGCTTTTTTTTTTTCTTCTTCTTTTCCAACATGGAAAGTGGTTTATAAAGCACTTGGCGCTGAGGGATCTCTGCATCACAGTATCGTCTTTTGCTGGCGCGTTCAAATTCATTTTTTTTTTTTTTTTTCGCATCGATGTGAGAAGCTGTGGTGGCGCTGAGCTGAGCGTTCGAGAAAAAGAAAAGAAAAAAAGATGTGAGGACGAGAAAGAGGAGAAGAAAATAAGGCACATAGGCAAACTTAAATCAAAGGCAAATAAATGTGAATTATTTGTCCCCTCTGAGCACATTCCATTCGCTATATTCCACTAAGTAGGCTATTTTTTTTTTTTTTTTTTTTTTTCGTTTTTGCTTTAATCCATTTTATGTGCATTTAACGGTCAAGCAAAAGTGCAAAATAGGAATAAGCCCTATGCTTTTGCACGATTGTACATATGCAGGAGGAAGCCTTTTCCGTGTAGGGACGACCGAGCACATTTTTAAGGATACCCATTTTGCAAATTTTACAGGTCCCATCCTGTCGACGTTTTTAAAATTCGAGTAAGTGTGAAGAGAATAATTAAAAGTAATGGGGGAAAAAAAAAACAAATTATGACAGAAGGATACCTCCCACTGGGGCATCTTAACCAACATAAGTCCCCCCCAAAAAAGTAGCACACACACACATAGAGATGTACTTGGCGAAAAAGCAGCAACATCCATGTGTATTCCTTTTTCGAACTTTCTCATTTTGTTTTCACCTTTTTCTACTTTGAACGTAGGTAATAAGAACCCGAAGCGTAGGCGAACAGAAGTTGAGCCCAGTACACAAGGCACATTAGCTTCGTCTCGACGGCACTGTGTTGCGAAATGGCGCGAGTAGCACAAAGGCCATAAGGGATTACAATAAGGGGGCATGTGCAGATGTCCTCGCGTGCTCATTGCGAGATATTCATATGAGTCGCTCACGCGCTCGTGTGGGTTACTGCGGCTGATATATACGGCAGTGCGCCTGTTTTTGTGGACGTCGGTGGAAGCCACTGGCGACGCGTACACATCCCCAATAGACGTTCCCCTTTGTTTCAGCTTGGTGGCAACGTGTACAGGGGATAATTTCGCTCCAGGGGCTGTACTGTCTTTAGGTGGTCACCTGAGCTGCGACGCTAAAGTGATAGGAAAAAGGCACCAACTACTCTACCTCTGCAAGTGCACCAGCAAAAATGTGGCTCGAAAAGTACGCCCCGCAGAGCCTGGATGAGCTGAAAATTCATAAGGACATCACGCAGAGGCTGAAGAAGCTGAGCGCGCATAAGGACCTCCCGCATATCATTTTTTACGGAGCGCCCGGAGGAGGAAAAAGTACCAGAATAGACTGCTTAATAAAAGAAATATTTAAGGAAGAAAAAATAATCAGGAGACCAGAGTGCCTAACGAATGCAGAAAGTAAAATTAGCATAAACGTGGTTCAAAGTAATTATCATCTAGAGTTACAATGCTTCGAGTTAGGAACCAAGGACAAAATAATTGTGCAAAATGTAATTAAAGAGTTATGTAGCTACAAATCAAGTGCGTCTTTTTTTTCAAAAACGCCCATGTACAGAATATTTGTTTTTAAAGATGCTGAGTTTTTAAGTGAAGGAGCTCAAGCAGGGTTGCGAAGGACATTAGAAACGTACATAAGAAATGCTAGAGTCATTTTACACTTGGAGCATCTGTCAAAAATTATCGAGCCATTAAAGAGTAGGTGTATTTGTATTCGAGTTCCTCTCCCGACGGAACAAGAAATTTTTGGGGTCCTAAAAGATATAAGTGAAAATGAGCATGTTCCGGATCCCTTCTGTTCAGAAGATTTTTTCAAAACTTTAATTAATAAACATGGAAGAAATTTAAGGAAATGTATTATGGCATTGGAAATGACGGTTTATTCAAATTCGGCTAAACCACATCAGTCCCTTTCTGTCGCTTCTACCTACATAAACGAACTGTGCGATTTTGCTTTTGTAAATCCTTCGCAAATAAAAATGAAAGAATGTGTGACGAAGATTCAGAGTTTAATAACGTGTCAAATTCCTGTCAACTTCATTTTTGAAACGATCATTAAATATTTGTTACGGAATAAATTTGATTACAAACTCAAGTACTTTTTCCTCAAATTGTGTTCGCACTTTTCCTTCCTGTCGGAGAACTCCTTCGACAAGAGCATCTCCCTCATTGCCTTCATTGTCAATGCCAACACCGCAATTATTAAGTACAACTTGGCCAAGAAGTAGGCGTAGAGGTTAGCAGCGATTATACGTCTACACTTCACCCACACATTTTCGCTACATTTTTGCGTGCCTTTTTTCTTATGCGCCCTGCTCCCGCTCCTCCCATTTTTTGCGTGTGCACACGGCGAACCACTCCAAAATGGTCAACATGAACTCGCAATAAAATTCGTGCATAAATTCGTACATATTCACAAATTGGTAACAGCAAGGCGGGCACATCGCGTCACGTAAAAAAAAAAAAAAAAATCAAATTTTTCGAATCTTACAAATGTATAAAATTCCAAAGGGTGACCTATCTGGCAGGGAAATGTAACCATATTTGGTTTTCTCAAAGAAGGATAAGAAATGGGTTCTAGGCCCATCACTCACAATGCTATCACTTCCAGTGGGTGTATCCCCAACATGCTGCCCTCCAAAAGACGCCGTAAATAAACGATCGCAATCATCCGCATGGAACCGTTTCTGATACTCTTCCTTCACAAAATCAATAATTTGAACTTGCTTTTTATATTTTTTTAAAAATTTCTCAATCACGTGATCATTCTCATGATGAGAAAGAGCACAGGTCGAATAAACGAGAGTGCCATTTGTGTGCAAAAGTTGAAAGGAGTTATTTAACAACTCAAATTGTACACTTGCGTTATTTTTTATCACCTTGTCTGTCCATTTGTTAAGCAAATCATTTTTTTTTTTTTTTATTAAATGTTCATCAGTGGAGCAAGGAACGTCTAGCAGTATTTTGTGGAACCTTGGGAACCTTAAAAAGGAGTTCACGTTTAGTCCATTATAATTTGTGATGTGAAAATTATTCGAAGTCAGCAGATCTTTTGGCAAATGCTTACTTAGTACTTGTTTCAATCTGTCGTACCTTACTCGATTAAATTCGTTCGCAACAAAAAACCCTTGCCTATTCGTGGTGTAATAATTCACCATATCTAACGAGCATGTAATTTGTATACTCCCATCCTTTAGGTATTCCATGTTTTTAATTCTCTTCACTGGAGAGGAGTCATACCCGAACAGCTGGTTTGCGAGGACAAGGGACTTGCCCCCTGGAGATGCACACATGTCTAACACATTTTCGTTTTTTTTTACATCCACAAAATATGCTGATAGGACAGAACAGGGGTTTAAATAGTAAATGACTTCGTTTATATTTTCCACTTCTCCATCGTGCTTCATTATATCACCTGCGTTTAGGACCTCTGATTTTTGAATGATTATTTTTTCGTAATTTTCTGCTGGGCGGGGGCGGCTAATCAGGGTGTTCGCTCCACTTGGGTTTTCTTCAACGGTTGACTGTTCTCCGCATGGATGCGTTTCCTCCTTCGTTTCGCTGCGATTCACGTTTGCAGTGTTCACCCCTGCGCTGGCGGAAAGGATAACACCATTTTGACGGTCCCCCTGGGAGACCGCTGCCTCTCCCCCATGGGTCAGCAAATGTGCATACGCCCCATCCACATACAGGCCATCGAAACTGGTCTGCACCTTATTTGACCCAACCATGAATAACAGAATTTTTGTCACATTGAGATAATCTACTTTTACAAAATCGGTTATGAATGCTCCTTGGACAGTCTTCTCCTCCTCCAGGGTCCTCAAGATGGTAGTCGCCCTCTTCTCTCCGTACTCCTTTTTCAGGTTAAAGAAGTACCCTACTTTCCCACTGCACTTCATCGTGTGTGTAGGGGGGGGGAGTCTGTGAGTGGTGCGCGTTAAAAAAATTAGAATGCTTCGCGTGTGCAAATGCACATGAACACGCTTACGTCACTGGAGGTTATCGCGCTGCTGACTTTGGACGGGGCTCATTGCGCGTTTTAGCCCATGGGTCTCCCAACCGTTTTTGGAACGACACGAAGGACCTGCTTCTGCAGTTGCGTGATGTCTAGTTTGGTGGCTCCCTTGACGTGCCTCATTTTGTGAGAAGCGGAAAGGACAATGGTTGCTTGGGGGTTGTCCCCTGCAGATTGTGTCGTCCCGACGATTTACCTATTCAACAAGCGTCGCACACCAGGGTAACCTTTATGTAGGTACTACATGCGTATGCATAAAATGAGTGGTCACTACATTGGGAGCTGTTCCTTCCATTTATTGTACTTTTCCCCATAAGTAACTTATGACCCGCTCGCCATTTCTGAGCAACGAATTCGCTCGTGGAACGTTCACAGAAGGGGGGGTAAAAACATGAGAAAAAAAAAAAAATTTGTATTCAGTTTTTGCGCAATAAATACATTTGCACGTTTACCCACGTAATTACATTCTGCAAGCAACTGCACGAATAGGTGGCTCCTACCACCGTGCTGTGAAAAGGCATTAAATTGAAAAAAAAAAAAAAAAAAAAAAAAAATAGAAAAACCTGTACACCGGTAAGTGTACATTATTTTTACGT